ACAACATGATATCGCACACTGCTTCCTCTCTGGTCTCATCTCCATTATTCTTCCACTCAGCCACGTTGCTATCCTTTATATTCCAGACAGCATCCTATCTCAGGGCCGTTGCACTTGCTGCTCTACCTGCAGTCTTCCTCCAAATCTATACATGGTTCATTCACTTCCTTCAAGTCTTTATCAAATGTCATCTTCTCAGTAAGATCTTCCTCAGTCACCTATTTAAGACTATACCCTTATCTCAGAGCTACTGGCCCTTTTCAATCCCTTTCCTATTTCAGTTTTCTGTGTAGCAAATATCTGTATGATAAGTATGACCAGCGGTGCTTGTTTCCTCAAAACTCTCCTAGTTTTAACGCTGAAGATTCCAAGAATCCTCTAAATGCTAGGCAATCTGGGGCATTTGGTCATCCTACTTATGTGTTATATATTTACTATTGTTGTTGTTATGTGCTGTCCCGTCACCTGCGACTCATAGAGACCCTATGTACAACAGCCCTAAATCCTGTTGTATCCTGTGCCAGTCTTATTGTCTCTGGTACACCTGCCTCTGTTACCCTACTCATTTAATCAATCCATCTCATTGAGGGTCTTCCTCTCTTGCACAGTCCCTCCATTCTTCCAGTCATGACATCCCTCTCCAAGGACTGGTCCCACCTTGCAACATGTCCAAAGTATGTCAGACAAAGCTTTAGAATCCTTGCCTCCAAGGAGCAGCTTGGTTAAACCCTCTCCAGATGAACCTGTTTGTTCTCTTAGCAGTTCATGGTATATTCAACACCATAGCTCAAAGGCATCAATTTTCCTTTTGTCATCCCTAGTTATTGTCCGGCTCCCTGATGCATAGCAGGTGATTGTAAAAACCATCCTGTATCAGTCACACCTTAGTCTCAGATTGACATCATTGCTCTTCAGTACTTTGGAGAGGTCCCTGACAGCAGATTTCCCAACACAATACATCTTTTAATTCCTGGTTGCTGGTGTCAAGAGTGTTGATTGCGGAGCCAAGCTAACCAAAGCTGTTAACAATCTCAATCTCTTCACCATCTATCATGGATCTGCCAATCTGCCCAGTGGTGAGAATCTTTGTTTTCTTTTTTTTTTTTTTTAAATCTTTGTTTTCTTGATACTGAGCTTCTATCCATATTGAAGGCTGCAGCATACTAACAATATACTGTTCCCTTAAGGTAGGGATTTTGGCTAATTTGTTCATTGCTATGTTCTCAGAGCCTAGAACAATATCTGGCATATATTAGTAGTTAATGAATAAATTTTGTTGTTGTTATGTACCACTGAGGCAGAACCAACTCATAGCTGACCCTCCAGAGGGTAGCTGGTGGCCTCGAACTACATGCCTTTAGGGTAGCAGTGCAGCTTCTTGCCACTAGGCCACCAGAGCTCCCTCCATAGTAACAGGTTAACTATATGGGTATGAATCATGGAGGTTAGAGTTCTCTGCTAGTTACTTCTGTATTCTCAGAAAAATAGGAAATAAAGTCTTTACCTGAGACTAAGCAGGGATGAACTAGAAAACATATGAAGAAAGAGGAGTCAGGGTATAACTGTCATCAAGAAGAGTGTGAGAGTGCCAGGCAGATACAGTAGAATTGCCAGTTACACTCAAGGCCCACTGGAGTTGAGATAGAGGTGGCTTATCTGTGTGTGCACAGGTGAGTGTGTGTACATGAGTGTGTCAACACAGGCAGGGGTATGTATGTATGTCTTTTCTCCATTTAGTTACTTGGAGTGCAAGCTCAAAGTGGAGTGTCAGCCAAGATTTAACAAAGTTAGGTTTTTCCACATCCTTGAAAGTGAGTGTTTTAATGATTAGCAGTAAAATCTTCAGAATTTCCATTAAGAAAACTTGGAATTGAACAGAAAAGTTGGTAGAACAACCCCCCTACTCTTTCTCTCTAGGAAACTTGCCTTTGGAGAGACCAGATGAATTATTTTAGGAGGTCTCATCCTCTGAATTTCTCTTACTGGTTCATTTTGTTTCTCTCTTTATTCCTTGCATTTCTTGCAAGCTGAAAAAGAAAGCCTTTGCAGCTAGGTTAGATCAGCTAAACGTTTTTATGGTTCTAAGTGTGTCTTATTTCATTGTACCAGGAGACAAGTCCCAGATTGTCTCCTTTGGTTAGAAAAGTTACAGTCAGATTTCTCTATTATAGACTTTCCTCCCCCCCTTCTTGAAATGACCCGTATTTTAGTTGAGTGAGGACATTAGAGGGTCTAAGGGCAGTGAAAAAGCTCAAATTGATGGAGCATAATAATGAGGCACAGAAATGGTTTGCATAAGCCAAGTGTTCTTAATATCTGGTACCATCATTCCATTCATTGTTTTTACTGCATCCCAGCACAGAAGTTCTGCTGATGAAGTGTGAGTTGTGCTGCCAACCCCAAGTATTGGCTGTTTGGTGGTTTGCTTCCTGGAAGAAAGATGAACAATCTCCTTCCAAGTGATTAACAGATTATGAAAACTCGCTGGAGAGGTAGTTGTCAGTGAGTCAGTTCACCTTTTTGGCAAGGTGATGTTTTTAGTATTCTAGCACCTTGCTATGAAAGATTGCTCCTTGGAGAGACACATCATGCTTGGTTGGTGAAAGAGCAGAAGAGCCTCAACCAGGTGGACTGACACAGTGACTGCAGCAATGGGTTCAAATATGTCCATGATTGTGAGGATGGCACAGAATAGGGCTGCGTTCAGATCTCTGTTTACAGGGTCGTGATGAGTCATAGTTGCCTTGAGGGCACCTAAAAACAGCAACAGCACACATTGCATTTGTACCTGACCATAGATGTGTGAGTCGTTTGAACTCAGAACTAGAGAGTTCCTTTCTTTTACCATCGAAAAATGTTTGCTTCTTGGCTACTTTCTACTTTTAGTAGAAATTAGGCTTACTATCTTTTGAGATGCCTTTTGACATTGATCACATTAAAAGAGACTTAATGACAGCAGTGACCAAACAACTTGCACAACCCACTGGTGCTTCTGAGTTTGGAGATCCATCTGGTCTCTCCCCAGTGTTGAGACATTCTCAGTGTCCCAGTCAGGATAATAACACTTTGCATTCTGGTGTCACAGGTCTGCCCACACAGCCAAAATGAGCTGTCCACTGCGCCCTAGTTCTTCACCAACCTTTCCCCCTTTCCCCATTTACTCTTATGATATTAATTCCACCTTCTTTTGATTGATCACCTTATTTTTTTAAATACTGTTTCCTGTGGTCAGCGATATCTTTCTTGTTTCTGAGTACATTACACTTGAGCTTTGTCAATTTTCTCCCTGGTCCACACTGAGCCTCTCGCGCCCCCTAGTGGACACTAACTTTAAGAGTCTTACTGACTGAGAAACAGTTACCGCCAAATCTCGATTCTTCACCCAAAAGTGTGTAGAGTAGAACATGTCAGGTATGTTATTGATAGAGTTTTCAAGCTGTGACCTTTCAGAAGCAGATTTTCATTTCTTCTGGGTGGTGGCGAGGATTTGAACTACCAACTTCCCAGTTTTTAAGCAGTTGAACCACCTAACGTTTTTGAAAACAAACACCCAAACCACCAAACTCACTGCCATTCAGTGGATTCCACCTCAACAATTCTCCACCACGTTTCCGAGGAGGTAAACATTGGCAGAGTCTGCTCCTCCTTCTCCAGCAAAGCTGCAACCTTTCTGTTTGCACTACAACACACCACCACAGTCAAACCAAGAAAAAGAAAAGAAAAAGCTTCTCTGTCTGGTTGTTCTCTAAGTACCCACTATTCTCAGATAATGAGTTTCTGAACAGAGATTACACAGATTACTGACTTCCTGCTTTAATTATAGAATAAGGTGGGGAAAGGGAAAAAGCTAGTTTTCAAATCTATTAATAAGAATTTCAATCTCTCCTATGGCATAACTTTTTCAATAAGACAAAATTTTGAGCCATTCTTCAGTCGAATTAGTTCTCTGGAATACAAATAGGAGCCTCTGGAATTTTGGTTTTGTTGCTGAGGGGAAAATGTATCCAAAATTTAAGATCATTTGAAAGATTTTGCCAGGAGTCAAATCAAGAAAACATTGTCTTAATAGATACTGTTTTGATTTGAAAGTAGGAATATATTTTTCTGCAATAAAGATTATGTAAATAGTTTATTTATGTAATGATTCTGTTTCTATTTACTGGTCATTATGTCAAAGTCTTATTTTTAATGTTGAATAGGTCTATGGTCTAGCTCGCAGGGAGTTGCACTGCTAATCCAAAAATGTCTTCTCTCTGGAGTTGAAATTTACCAGTGGCACTGCTGGAGATAGGTGGGCAGTCTTCTGCCTGGTGATTTACCGCCTCAGAAACCCAGTAGAGGGTCGGCTCTGAGTCAGTTCTGACTTAAAGGCTATGAGTTTTGAGTTTTTATGGATTACATCATGCTGTGAGAATCTGGTTAATCCTCGGCCCACACTCTAACCCGCTCAGCCAGAGCAAAGCTCTTTTTGTCCGCTGTGTCCAATGAGAGGCTATTTTGTCAGACATCAACCAACCAGCTTCATGAAGTCAAAGCTAGCCTTTTAGAAGCCAAGTGCCCACTTACATATAGCAAAGTATTAATTTTTGGAGGCAAGTGCCCACTTTGAGAGGGGGAGCTAAGTGTAATTGCAGCCCCTCTCACCTCATTTGAGCATCAGGGTCATACAGAAGCACTCCCCATCTGAGCGCGTGAACCCGGGGAATCTCTCCAGCTTCCTTCATCTTTGTCACAAGGAGCTCTGGCGGCATAACCAGCAAGGTGGTAGTTGGACCTTACCTAGTAGCTACATAGAAAAAAGAGCTGGCAGTCTGCCCCCATCAAGAGGACAGCCTAGAAAACGCTACAGAGCAGTTCTTCTCTGTCACAGGGAGTTGCTGTAGCTAAGAATTAACGTGAAAACACCCAGCAGCAGCAGCAGCAGCAGCATCTTCCTATAAGCAGTCATCACGCGGCCTCAGCCAGGCGGCTGTTGAGGCCCAAGTTTTCTGTCTCTTCAGGTCCTCGAGTATGTTCCACATCATGAAGCACGATCACTACGTCTCCAGATTCGGCAGCAAACTCGGGCTGCAGTGCATCGGCATGCACGAAAACGGCATCATATTTAACAACAATACAGACCTCTGGAAAGTGATTCGCCCCTTCTTCATGAAAGGTATGCAGGTGCCTCGCTGCATTCTGTTCTTTTGTCTTCGAATGTAGTTTTTCAAAGTATATTTTAAATTCTGCTGCTTCACTGTTCTGAAATGAGAATAGCTAACATTCGTTTTGCATGTGCTCTGTTATAAAGAAGTCCTGGTGGCAAAGTGGCTAATAAAAAGCACAACTACTATCCAAAGTGTTCTTGGTTCAAAGCCACCAGGCACTCTGTGGGGAAAAGATGAGTCCATCTACTACTATAAAGAGTTGTAACCTTGGAAACCATACAGGACTGTTCTGATCTATCTATAGGGTTGCTATTGGTCAGATTTGATTTGATGACTATGGATTTGGGGGTTTACTCTCTTGAGAACATTGTTCTAAGCACTTAATAATTTTTATCCCACAGCTGCCCCACAATGCCATAAATACTCTTATTACCTACATTTTACAGGTCATGAAACCAAAGTATAAAGAAATTGAGTCATTTGCCCAAGGCCCCAACCTTATAACCCAAGGATACAATCCCCAAGCCTAGCTTCTTAACCACCACAAAGTCTGTTCTTCCTGTTGGTGCACAAAGCACCTTCCCAGGCAGGAGGAAGAGACAGATGAGACCAGTTGCTCTGCTTAGGGGTCATTTCAATGAAGACTTTTTTTATGCCAATCACATGTTTGATTTAAATGTGGCTCAACAATGTGCCTGCTTAATTGTTGCCTGGCCGTTCAGAGGTTTTAGCACGAAGAAAATGAGAGAATTTTAGAACTGGATAAGACTACCTGTGCCATCCAGTCCTGCCTATGAGTTTTACAGTTGAGGAAATTAAGTCACAGAGAGGTTGTGGTTTATACCCAAGAAGCACAACATGCAAGGGGAAATGCAGAGACCTTTCCCAAGCTTCCCTCTCCAGGAATTTCCCCTTTTACTATGGCATGGTAGAAATTAAGCTGTTAGAGGAGAGCTGCACGGGCTAACTTAAGGAAGTTCCTGGAAAGCTGGTCAAGGAATCAAGGGTTAGGTGAATCTTAGGTCTAACCATGCACCATTGGTAGTCTGTTCTCCAGCCAACCTCGCTAGTGAACTTAGATGCATCCTGTGTGGTTGCTAAGACAGAATTTATGCCCATTCCAGGAGTCTGACCACTGCTTGTCCCTCTGTGGAATTCTCCATCACTAAGACCCAGTGATCATTTAAAAAAAATTAATTAAAAAAACCTCTTTAAAATGAGAGCGAGGGGGTTTTACCTAATTTTAAAAGTGACAGGTACATGTAGAAAATTGGAAGAATATAACAAAAAAGCATAAGAAGGAATGTAAGTTCTCTGACCCCGTTATTGTACTAGAAATGGTGATTACGTTTCAAGTATAAAGAGCTGACATGACGTGATTGTGCCTGGGCCTGATGGGCATTGCCGTCTGCTGTGTGTGCCTTTCAGCTTTGTCCGGCCCTGGCCTGGTGCAGATGGTGGCAATTTGTGTCGAATCCATCAAAACTCATCTGGACAAGCTGGAGGAGGTGACCAACGCAGCCGGCTACGTGGACGTGCTGACCTTCATGCGGCGCATCATGCTGGACACCTCCAACACGCTGTTTCTGAGGATCCCGCTGGACGGTACTGAATTCATCCTCAGGGTGTGACATCCTGTCCTCTATCAAAGAAACAACTGAGAAGGCTTACAGATAGCCACACACAGGCGGTTTTTACATGGACCTTGTTCAAACACTTTTTGCAAATCACCCCTAAAGTTGCGCTTTGTCTTATCTAGTGACCCTCTATTGTTCCATTGTGAAGGGTAAATTTCCAAAAATGTTATTGTCTCTTCTGATTGCTCTAGGAAAGTTTCCAGAATAGAAACCAAACACAGGTAATCCGTTCATTTGCTCATTAGTGTACCCTGCCACCCATCATATTGACACACTTAACCATTTCCAGCTATTATTTGGGGGATGAAGACTGTTTGATGCACACATAAATACACATTCTTTCATCAGGTATGAGAAGTTTAGGTCTATCGATGTCATGGTCATAACAATAATGCTAGAAATAGTCATGATATTAAAAAGCAACACCCATTGCTTTTAAAATGATTCTGACCCCCAGTGACCATTCTGACCCCTTCAGATTCCCAAGAGTATGACCTTAGGTACCTTTTCAAACTGGAACAAAATTCACTCCTGTGGCTCAATTTTCAACCAAACAATAGACAGGCCTATGAGGGGACCTATAACACCAGACAGGCACTCACTTCTTAGAATAAACCACCATAGAGAATAAATAAAATAAAAAAATTAAAAAAAGCAGATTTTGCCTGAAGATAAAAGCCCTAAAGGCAGGAAGCAGTAGGGTAAAAGGATCAAATAAAATTATAATTACAGGGGCATGATATTGTAGTTGTTGTTGTGTACCATCGAGTCTGAACTGACCCATCGCTGACCCTCCAGTGGGTTTTCAGAGGCAGCTAATGCACCAGAGAAGATTGTCCATCCTTCTCCCTCAGAGTAGCCAGCGGATTCAAACAGTAGGTGTTGTCATTCATGTTGTAAAGCAAGGTGCGTATGAATGGTTGAATGAAAACCAATAATATCCTTTGTAAACTTTCACTTAAATCACAATTTTAAAAAAAGAGTTCAGGAAATCTCATCTGATTGCCATTTGGAAAAGAGGTCACATTCACTCCAAGAATTTGCAATCACACTCTCTCACCTAATCTCCATTCAGAAAGGGATCCCATTCCCACCTCACCTGGTGTACATTTCTCCTCTAATTGCTGTTATTGTTAGTTGCTGTTCAGATGATTCCCACTCACAGAGACCCCATATATAACAGAACAGAACAAAACAAAACACTGCCTAGTTCTGGAGAAGGATCTCACTCGGAAAGAGAGGAAGCCCCTCAGTCAGCTGAATTGACGTAGTAGCTAGCTACAGCAGTGCACTCAAACATAGCAACCACTGTGAGGATGGAAACAACTAGGCTGTGTCTCTGTCTGCTGTGCATGGATTCTTTACAAGTCAGAACCAACTTGGCGGTACCTAGCCACAAAAGGCTGTGAATCAAACTCAAAGTGAAGTGGCTGACAGAGATGTTAACTCAACTTCTACTATTACATCATCTGAAGGCATTCATATAGCTAACACCTTTACTGAAGTGAAGACATGTGACACTTAGAACTCTAGGATGTAGGAGAATCGGAGGGAAAGCTCTGCTCGGATCACCAGTACCTGTGTCCGTATTTTGTGTAATCACAAAACTCTTTTTTTTCTTTCCCTTCCAGAAAATGCAGTTGTGGTTAAAATCCAGGGGTATTTTAATGCATGGCAAGCTCTCCTCCTCAAACCAGACATCTTCTTTAAGATTTCTTGGCTCTACAAAAAGTATGAAAAATCTGTGTAAGTAACACAAATATGGAAAATTTGTGAGTGGGATTGCATTGTTCTTTTCTTCATCGTGTCTGTGTTGCTGTTGGTGCCTCTGGTGAGAGTTCTGCTCTCCAGAGTCTATAAGGGGTCTGCTGGGTAAGTTGCTAGTTTAACAGTTCTTCCAGCAATTTGGTTGCACTTGGTCAAGCCAAAATTGTGAAAGACGCTTGTGGCTGAGACAGCTTCTCCACAAGAGGCCCAGTGTAGTCTCCCAGCCCCATTCCTGGAAGTAGGAAACTGGTTATATATTGAGTTGAAGGGAAGAGGTTGGCTGACTTTGTCAAATTTCTCTTTCAAAGAGTGGGGGTAGGGAAGACCTTGCGCAACAATGAAAAATCCTTTTAAAGAGAAAAGCAAACTGGTGAGAGGGGTGGGGAGGAAAATGTGCAACAATGAATGGATGGAAATCCAAGTTTTCTGTAAACTTTTATTAAAATAATTTTTTAAAAAAATACCCTTCTATGTAAATGAGGGCAAATGAAAGCATGCTATCAAATTACAGTTGTGTTACTTTTGAAGAAATTTAATATAATTCAACTCATAGGAATTTATAGTTTAATGGAATTTTTTTGTAATGAACTAAGAGGTTTGTGTTCTGTGTCATTGTCTTTGGTTATACATGGTATGCATATCTTTAGAATCTTGAAGCTGTCATTAATTAGTTTTTATTTGAAGGTCACAGTCTTGATTTGGCTACCAACATGAATAAATTTCATCTAACTCTAAATCCTTACCGTAAAATGTATATAAGCTTAAGAAAATTTTTACAATAACAAAATATACATTTAGTAATTCATGAGCCCTAAGGACCTGGGCAACTAATTGGAAGAGATTCATATTTGCTCCTATTCCCAAGAAAGGTGATCCAACAGAATGTGGAAAGTATCAAACAGTGTCACTAATAGGCGCATGCAAGAAAAATATTCCTGGAGATCATTCAAGAAAGGTGAAAATAGTACATTGAAATAGAATTTCCAGAAGTTCAGACTGGGTTTAGAAGAGACTGTGGCACCAAGGATTATCATTGCTGATGTCAGGTGGATCCTGGCTGAAAGCAGAGAATCCCAGAAGAATGTGTATTTATGCTTTATTGACTATGCAAAGACATTTGACTATGTGGATCACAACAAATTATAAAGAACATTGAGAAGAACAGAAATCCCAGAACAAGAGCCTGTTATCTGAACAGAGCAAGGGAACACCACACTAACTACTACAGTTTAAAATCAGAAAAGGTGTGGGCCAAGGTTGTATCCTCTCTCTACACCTCCTCAATCTGTATGCTGAGCAAATTGTTAGAAAACCTGGGTTCTATGAAGAAGAATATGGCATCAGGGTTGGAGGAAGACTCATCAACAACCTGGGTTGTGCAGATGACACAACTTTGCTTGCTGAAAATGAGGAAACTTGAAGCACTTGTTGCAGAAGATCAAAGACTATAGTTTTCAATATGGATTACTTCTCAACATCAAGAAAACAAAATTCTCACTGTTGAACCAATAGATAACATCATGATAGAGGGAGAAAAGATTGAAACTGTCAACTAATTCACCTTACTCGGATCATAATAAACACACCTGGTAGCAGCAGTCAGGGGATCAGGAGGCGGATCGCACTGGTAAAGTCTGAAGTCAGGGAGCTTTCTCCAAATTATTGAGGAGCAATGATATCAGTTTGAAGAGTAAGGTATGCCTGATTCAGGCTGTTGATTTTTCAGTCACTTGCTACACATCTGAGAGCTGGATAATGAATAAGGATGATAGAAGAAGAATTGATGCAGAAGTTGAGTTGTGGTGTTAGAGAAGAGTGCTGAATACCCCATGGACTGTGAAAAGAACAGATATGTCTTGGAAAAAGTGCAGCCAGAGTGCTCGTTGGAGGGATAGATGGCAAAGCTTCACCTCGGACACTCTGGGTATGATGTTAGGAGGGGCTATTCTTCAGAGAGGAACATCATGCTTGGAAAGGTAGAGTGTTGGCAAAAGAGAGAAAGACCTTAAACAGATGATTGACACAATGACTGCTAAAACGGGCTCACATATGTCAGAGATGATGAAGATGGTACAGGATAGGACAGAGTTAATTAAGGTCTGCTGTTCATAGGGTCACTATGACAAATGAGTTGACTCAATAGCACCTAACAAAAACAAAGACTTTAAGAGGATCCCTGGTGGTAAAGTGGGTTACATACTGTGCTGCAACCGGAAGTCTGATGGTTCAAATATGCCAGCTGCTCTGTGAAAGAAAGATGGGCAGTGCGCTTCCGATAAGACTTAGAGTCTTGAAACTTTATGGAAGGTCACTTGGAATCAGATTGGACTTGGTGGCTATGGTCTGAGGTTTTTTTGGGATGTGTGGGATGTTATATGTTGAGCTGTTAGGGGGAAAAAATGAAAAAATCAGCAGTTAAAATCCACAGCCATTCTAGGGAAGAGGTAGACAGTCTCCTCTCAAAGATTTAGAACTTTGGAAACTCGATGGAGGGTTGCCATGAAGTAAAACTGACTCAAGAGAAGTGAGTTTATCTATTGGGTTGTTTTTTGTTTTTAAATACTTTACATAAAACAGATTCTTTTATATAAACAAGAAGTAAATGAATCTGCTTTGCTAGATATCTAAACTGAGTACAAACAAATTATAATCTAATCTTTTTTTTTCTCCCCCTCAGCAAGGACTTGAAAGATGCCTTAGAAATTCTAATTGAAGAAAAGAGACAGCGGATATCTGAGGCAGACAAACTGGAAGATAGCATAGATTTTGCCACTCAGTTGATTTTGGCTGAGGTACTTACCCTACACTGATCATAACTCTCACACAACAAATGTGCATAATCTATCGACTGTCATATCAGCATAATCTGTGTGTGTGTGTGTGTATAGAGAGAGAGAGTCCCTCTTGTAATTGTTTCATATTTGTAGGGGGGTTACAGAGAGGGAGGGAGGCAATAAAGAATTCAAAGACTCTAAACACATAGATAATTGGTTAAGCTGTCCCTTTTGAACTGAATGTTGTACCTAAAATGTTGACAGTCAATTTCTGTGATTTAATTGTGTTGCTATTGTTGATTCCTGAGGGTCACTTCCTCTTCTTTTGTGAAGCATCTATTTGCTTTTTCAATTTGTATCTCCTCTTTCCTATTGTTCAGAAACGTGGTGACCTGACCAGGGAGAACGTGAACCAGTGCATACTGGAAATGCTGATCGCGGCACCTGACACCATGTCTGTCTCTGTGTTCTTCATGCTGTTTCTCATTGCAAAGCACCCACAGGTTGAAGAGGCTTTAATGAAGGATATTCAGACTGTTCTTGGTAATGATTTATGAATTAAGTAATACTTGCCTGGCAGAAAGAACTGTTCCATAAGGTTTCCAAGATTAGAAGTTCTGTGGTAGTTAACTGCAAAATCGGCCATTTGGAAGCCGTAGAGAACACAGTTCTACTCTGAAAAACACGGGGTCACCATGACTTAGAATTGACACAATGGTAACTAGTTGATTGCTTGATTTACAAAAGTGTGGGTTTATGTGAACCTTTGTTCCTATCTTATCAGGTGAAAAGAGTTTTTGTGGGTCCTCTCTAGAAAATGACTGTCATTTATAACAGTATTTCTGGGTTTCAAATAGTGGCCTATTTGTAAATGAACTTCGAAGTGGTAGCAGAAGAAGGATGAGAAGGTGATGGCAAAGAGAAGGGAATGATCAGTTTTTCTCTTCCCTCCAAATCCAGTACTGCTGAGTTTTCCCCCTCTGTTGTTATTGTTGTTGTTATGTGCCGTCGGGTCACCTGCGACTCATAGTCACTGTATGTATGACAGCCCTAAACACTGTTCTATCCTGTGCCAATCTTATTGTCTTCAACACACCTACTCTCATTACCCCAGTTACCTCATTGAGGGTCTTCCTCTCCTGCGCTGTCCCTTCACCCTCCCAAGCATGATGTTCCTCTCCAAGGATTGATTCTACCTTGTAACATGTCCAAAGTATGTCAGACAAAGCTTCAGAATCCTTGCCTCCAAGGAGCAGCCTGGCTTCACCCTCTCCAGGACGTATTTTATTTTCCTTTTAGCAGTCCATGGTATATTTAATACTCTTCTCTAGCACCACATCTCAAAGGTAAAAATTCTTCTTCTTTCATTCCTAGTCATTGTCCAATTTTCTGAGGCATAGCAAGTAATTGCAAAGGCCATGGCCTGTATCAGGTGCACCTTAATCTCCAGACTGACATCATTGCTCTTCAGTACTTTGGCAAGGTCTCTGACAGCAGACTTTCCCAATGCAATTCATCTTTTAATTTCCTGGCTGCTGGTACCAGGAATGTTGATTATAGAACCAAGCAAACTGAAGCTGTTAACAATCTCAATCATCTCCTTACTATCTATCATGATGCTGAGAATCTTTGTTTTCTTAATGTTGAGCTTCAATCCATATTGAAGGCTGCTATCCTTGACCTTATGCAAGTGCTTCAGGTCCTCCTCAATTTCAGAAAGCAGGGTTGTGTCATCTGCATAATGCAGATTGTTGATGATTGTACCTCTCCCCTCTCTTTTTCACCCCCAAGGGAGGTCCTGGATCTCCATGGACCACTTCCTCAATAGCACCTCTTAGTTACTGTGTCTTCTGTCCACTGCACCCTAACACCATCTTCCTCCCATAGAAACATTTCCACATTTCTACAAAATCAGAATGGCTTACTATGATATAATGGAACTCCTTATTTTGAATTTCACTCAGATGATAACTTTAAGGAACACATTTCCTACATACGTAAAGAGATATCAGTAATGATATAAACTTTTCTTCCTTAACCTTACACAGTCCCTTCTGAAATAAATTATTTGGTTGTGAAAAAGATATCATCTTCTTAAATTCAATTGAGTGCTACTTGAAATAGTTGTCAGTAAGAGGAAATTTCATAAAAGGGTTAATTATGTGAGAGAAAGGGCCTATAGAGAATGAGGTAGGTGGGAAATAGCCTTGCAGTAGAGACTGAGGGATGGGGAACATAGTCATATGTACATTCTAAATTCCAGAATACCTTATCCAATGCCTTCCTTCTGGTTCTGTGCTACTGCCGTTACTCCTCTGACGGCAGGGCTCACAAGTGAGAGGGCGAGAGAGAGCTCAACACGCAACCTCATTGGAACCGGTAAAGATGGAAGAGTGAAACCAGAGTTAAAGAAAGGGAAACATTGCCTTTTTATCTTACTTTTTCTTGTGTTTGGGATTATACACAGCAAGATATACTTCAACCATTTCTATATGTGCAATTCAGTGACAATGACTATATCTTTTGAGGTGTGCAAACATTCCCATTCTCTTTTTTGGAATTTCTCCTCCTCCTCAACATAAACTCAGTGTCCTCTAAAATTTCTACCCAATAGTGTGAGTTGTTGTAATCAATTTTATCTCATATATAAAAACAATCTCTTGCTGTTGAGTTAATTTCAGCTCTAGAAACCTACCACTGGGCTTCTCAGATTGGAAATCTTTACAGGACGAGATTGCCCATTTTTCTCTTATGGAGTAGCTGGTGAATTCCAACCACTGATCTTTTAGTTAGTAACACAACATAAAACACAGTATACCAAAGGAGCGTGTTTGATCCCATGTTGTTATTAGATGCCATCAAGTTGACTACAATCCATCCCATAAACAGATATCTTAAAAGAGCATAGTAATAACTTCAAATGCCTTTGACTGTATTTTCTATCATCTTCTCCTGTACTTCCCCATCCCAGATACCAATTTAGACCCTTAGGTGTTCAGAGATCAAGCTTGTAATCAGGCAAGGCTCTTAAAGTTCACTAGCCAATCATGAAGAGCCTCTCTTTGGTCACTGAAAAGCTAGATTACAAACATTCTTTTGTGGCAGCTATAGAAGTTTTAATGACTCTCACATTGTGAAACTAACACCATCTTCTTTGTCCTTTTTACATGTTTCCACAGGTGAAAGAGACATAACAATTGATGATATGCCAAAATTAAAAGTGGTGGAAAATTTCATTTATGAGAGCATGAGATACCAGCCGGTTGTGGACTTGGTCATGCGCAAAGCTCTGGAAGATGATATCATTGACGGCTACCCCGTGAAAAAGGGGACCAATATTATCCTGAATATTGGAAGAATGCATAGACTAGAATTTTTCCCCAAGCCCAATGAATTTACTCTCGAAAACTTTGCAAAGAATGTAAGTGCCCTTCTTTAAAGCTGGGTCTATCTCTCTTGAAAACATTAACTGTTAAATCCACTCTTCATCTATGTTATTTGTACCTATACATTTCATTCTTCACTCTTTCTCCTCTGTCCACCTCCTCACTTAAGAGCTTGGCAGTGAATACCATATTTGTTCTTAAGCTTAGAAAGCTGACTTCCAGAGCTGGGGGCCACACAAATAAGTCAATGTGAAAAACTCAGGTCATTAATCTGGCTCAGAAAAGGCTAATATTCTTAACCTGGCTGGTCATCTGACTTTTCCACCAATATATTGCTGCCACCATATAAATGCAGCAGTAACTCCATCTAAGCAAGGAAAATCCACTTCTGCTTTAGATGGAAATCAAGTGAGACCAAAGGATTTTTGGGTTCCAGTCTGTCTTAATTTATAATGGACCCATGAAAAGTAGTTTAAGTAGGACTATTTTAAATAGGACTCAGGAACTAGGATAAATGGAGGCTCATGGGGTAGTGGGTAGAAAGTTGTGCTGCCAGTCTAGTGGTGGGCCATTTGAATCCACTAGTCGCTCCCCAGAAGAAAGACGGACAATCTCCTCCTATGAGATTTATAGCCTCCAAAAGCCCCCTGAATAGTCATAATAAGTTGGTTCCAACTCTACAGTGAGGAGAGAGAAGAAAAAATGGAAGAAATAAGTGTTTTCTTTTCCTATAACTGATATTCTGTATATTTTTCCTCCATTATATATATTTTTTTTATTTTATTTTTTGTGTATGTGTGTGTGTACCATCAAGTCAGATCTGACTGGTACAGGAGGAGATTGTCCCTCCTTCTCCAGCAGAGAGCATCTATCTGGTGGATTTGAACCACGCACCTCTGGGATTGCAGTGCAGCTTCTTGCCACTAGGCCACCAGAACTCCCTTCCCTTATATATTTTGACCAAAACTTTTTAACCTCCATTTTCTAGATCATTTCTTCCATGCTCTTTTTTTATTTGCATATATTATAGAAATATTTCAATCATTCTAGTTCTTTGATTACTTTTCATTTTATTCAGGCAATACAGATATATAGCCCATCAACTGATAACAGAACTTATTAAGCATTTTTTATCTGCCAAGCACTTTGTAAGTCCAGATATGAGCAAGACAAATCTGATCCATACCCAAAAGGACTTTATCGTGTAGACTAAAAAATTAAATTTTATGCATAATTAAAACCTTTAGATGCTTGGCACTGATGACCCAAGATACCACATTGTTGTCCAAATTTGCTCATTTTATCAGGTTATATGACACAATAATTTTTCTTATCTTTGCAAAACAGTAGAAGGCTCTGTGATCAGTCCATCAAGTTAGCTGAGGAAACTAGCACTCGCTAGAAAACAGTGATTTGCAGTGCTCTGTCTGGCCCAGGGTATTGACATGAAGAACAAAGCTGGGGTTAGTCTGGGGTTATATGGCAATGGGTTAATCAAACTGCATAGAGAAAAGGGTTGATTAGAGTGACAGTTATTCACCTTAGGGAAGGAGTTGTATGATTCAGACCCTGAGACTGTGTCTTCAGTAGGAATCAGAGACAGAATGGCTGTACCTTTTATTGTTAGTATCACTGAGTCACCTGCCACTCATAGTGACCCTATGTACATTGGTTCTGATCCCTGCCCTGTCCTGAGCCAGTCTCACTGTCTCTGCCACACTTGCTCCCATTACCCCAGTTACTGTGTCAATCCATCTTCTATAGGGTCTTCCACTCCTGCACTGTCCCTCTGCCCTTCCATGCATGATGGCCTTCTCCAAGGACTGGTACCTTGGTTAATTCTCTGATCCTTTTTTTAGGTTCCTTATAGATATTTCCAACCATTTGGTTTTGGGCCCCGTGCCTGCGCAGGAAAGTACATTGCCATGGTGATGATGAAATCCATCCTGGTTACATTTCTGAGACGATTCCACGTGAAGACACTGCAAGGAAAGAGTATTGAGAACATGCAGAAAAAGAACGACTTGTCCCTACATCCAGATGAGTCTCACAGCATGCTGGAAATGATTTTTATCCCAAGAAACTCTGACAAGTACCAGTAAAACAGTAAAGGAGAGTGAGTGGTCAGTAACTTTTCTAAAGTGTTTTTCATCATTTCACAGGGAAACCATCTGTCATTACCCAGGTAGTGTCACCCTCACAATGAACTTTCAGTAACCCACAGCATTTTAGAGGCATCCTTCTTAGGGATTGTTTAGCAAACCCAGAACCATTGGTTATCAGATCTTGTCTAAAGCAGAGAACCAAGCTTCAAAAGAAATAACAAAGGCCAAATATTTGCAGGGAAAATGGTAGTGAAGAAACTGCAGCCTGCAGATCCAATTCCACAAAATGTATTGGGGTAAAAACAGATCTTCAAAACATTAGCCCAACTTCCTTTGGCATTTCCGCTGACCTCCCTACGAGTATTTTAATGGGGAACAGAAGCACTCAACTCAGTTAGAATGATCAAGCAAATGTCCGAGTGACCCGGGGTCAAACACACAAACTAATTAGTGGGTAAAAAGGATTTTGGTTTTGGGAAGGCGGGGACTACATTATCACAATCCTTGGAGAAGTGTTGACAAAAACAGCATTTGACTTTCTCCAGTGAGTTATACTAAAGGAATTATCCACATGGAACTTGTCTGGGGTAAATTTTAAATCTGACTGTATCCTTTCCCTTCACCAATTACCACTGTTCCAATAGGTTTGGATTCAGGTAATACAAGCCAATTTAATAATAACCTAAGTAACATATAAATAAGCCCATTTATCTGCTGTAGGAAAGAAAATGCACGGGAGATACATTTTAAATGCAAATTAAAATAATTTTTACATGTTTGCATTATTGGTTACCTCCATTAGTTTGGCAAACCACCAAATAACTTTAAAGAGTGGCATCTCTCAACCCTTGCAACAACTCAAGATGTGGGGAGAAGTCCTCTAGGTTACATAGAATTCTCTAGCCAGTAGTAGGTTCAGACTTCTGAAGAATGCCACCCTCCCCCCTTATCATTCTCTATTAATGTTTTTCTTATCTTTTTTTCCATGGCCCCAAAGTCAAAGGCAATATGTCAGTAGAGAAAAAGGTCAGGGTAGCATCTCTGCAATTAACATTTTATCACACCTCAGATCTTATACACAAAAAGCAATGTAAAGATTAACTGTTACCTAGATCACTAAATCATTGGATATAGCCATGGAAGAAAGCTTAGAGTTAGCTTTCTTTTTTCTTTCTTGTTCAGCTTTCTTTTTTCGTTCTTGTTGTGTACCATCAAGTCGGATCCAACTGGCACAGGAGGAGATTGCCCTTCCTTCTTCCAGTGGAGCATCTGGTGGATTTTAACTGTGAGCATCTATCTATCTACCTACCTACCTTCGGGATTGCAGTGCAGCTTCTTGCCTCTAGGCCACCAGAGCTCCATCTAGAGTTAGCTTTCCATAGGTAATCAAGTGAATGGGTTCCTTTCCAAACACCTCTGTACTTGTATTACGCAGCTAATATGGCTCAGTCTATTGGATGCCATTTTAAAAAATGGAAACATTAAACTGCACTACCTGAATTTTTACAAGTGTGCATATGTTTGCCATTGTCAGGCCAACATCTGAATATTTTGTCCATCCTAATGTTTGCCATTAGGGCAACAGCTCAACATAAAACAAGAGAACACATTCCCAGCAAGCAAGAGCCATTTTCATTCTTTTTTAATCCATCCTCATCCCACCCTCCTCTAATTCCCAGTTTTATTCTCAAAATGAGTACTGAACAGACATTCATGCTTATTAACAAGGGGAAAATAATAAAAACTAGATCCATTCCCATCAAGTTGATCCTAAATCATGGAGACCATGAGTGCAAGAGGCAGGTATTGTATGGACCTAAGAGCAAGTAAAGAAGGAAATATCTGAATTTAGAAGAGTTTTGGATCTTTTAATAATCTGTAATATTCGGAAATATGCTCATGTACCTGGGTATGCCTACTATAAGATATAGACAATCATTGAAATAATTCAAACCATGGACTGCAAGACCAGGATTTTAGATTTCATGTATCCGAGTTAATTCACTTAATAATTATGAACATGCTTTTACTTTTCCTCTGTTGGAGCTGCTTGGTAGATGGATTACTCTATCCATCTAATTCCCTTGGACCATCTACATGAATTTTATATGTATTTATGTAGCCAATGCCTTTGTCCACATAGTTAAAGAGTAATGGAAGACTTATTAGGTTATCAGTGGATAATGTAGACACAAAAATATGCTGGGGATCCTGAGGAATTGGAGGGTGGATGTGGAGGGCAAGAATGGAAATGCTACTTGAGTGAACCAAGAAGAAGCTTTCTGGATAAAATGAAACTGGGCCGCAAATTCAACTTTCTGCTCTGCTTGGTTTATGCAGACAAACTTTATATAATTGTATGGGCTGGGCCTAAGAAATTTGGAATACCGCTGCCTTTCAGGAGGCTTATGAAGATATTCTTGGAAATCCTGGGGCTTTTCTTCAGAATTTTGCCCCATTAAGTTATGTTAATTGTGCTGTGGAGTCTATTTTGTAATCAGTCTCAAAGAACTGCATTGTGTAAATTACCAGTGAAAGGCATGCCTACACAGGTTCTTTGTTGTTAAATTGTAGGGAAAATGATACTCTTCTGTCCTTGGCTGTACCAGGCATCATTCTATGCCATCATCGACAGCCCACTTTGCTCTCCCAAATGGAAAAGGGCTCCCCACATTATCAAGAAATTGGAAATTGCCACTTTTTATTTCTAAGAAGCATCTCTCACCATCTATGGTGTTAAAGTTCACTGACATGTGTGGCATCTCCCCACTGGAAAGAAGGCTAAAATGGACTCCCTTCCAGTTCTTGTATCAGTTAGTTTTTGTGACTGACTCACATCCATACTTGCCAAATGGCCTTTGCTAAGTGAACTTTGTTGAGTTAATGAATTGACTGAATTTGTGGTACTGTACTGTTGGTTACATTTATTTCAGAAGACAAAGTCATGGGCATATTCTTCCAAGGCTCAGCTCCAACAGGACCTCCTCAGCTAAACACTCTCATTTTCTTTAAGCACAAATGTTGCTAAATCTAGAGAGTCAGTGGTCTCGACCTTTTTTCATCGGGTCAACAATACAAGTGCAATGCATTTAAACAGGGCAGCCTGTTTGTCAAGGCCCTGCCCACTAGGTATACTCTGCCCACTTAGCTTCTATTGAGAATGCATTTCCAAAAGCAAAGAAAATGAGAATCATTATAAGAATTCTCAGAATATCTTCAAATCCACACTTAATTTATAATCAGAAGCAAATGGTTCACAAACATCAATATTTTAACCAATTAGTAAGACATGGAGGTTGAAAGCCAGGTGATTTTTTTAAAAACGTTCCTTTCCACTCTAAGACTCCCTGGTCAGAGAAGCAATAAAGCCTGAGATCTGAGCTCAGCCTTAACTATATGCTTTGTACAAGCTGTTTGAGCTCTATGCCTCAATTCTCTCACCAGTACAATGGGGATAATAATTGCTTCAGAAAGTTGCTATGAGGATTGAAAGAGGTAATTTAAGGGAAGCTCTTAGCACTCTGTCAGGGAATTAAGCTCCCAATATGCAGTAGTCCTGAGAATAGTGATGCCCAGGAATTAGACTGGCCCAGGACATTCTCAAAACTCTATTCATACAGTGGTTGTTGTTACTGTCAGTTGCTGTCCCTGATTCACGGCAATGCCACACTCAACTGAAAGAAACATTGCCAGCTTATACCATCCTCATGATTGGTTGTAAATAGGATCGTTGTGACCCTTAGGATTGTCACTGGCTGATTTTTGGAAGTAGGTCACCAGGCCTTTCTCTCTATTCTTAGCTTGGAAGCTTCACTGAACCCTGATCAGTATCCTAGCAACAAACTCCCTTCATGGACAGGCAGATCCAGAACTTCGTTTTAACCTTCATGACAATTTCCACATTAGTATGGCTGCTCAATGAGCCCCATATTGTATAGATGTGAAGACAGGGGCCCAGTGAGTTTGGGGTTTTCCTGTAGGAGCACAAAGGATTTGCATCTGCTGATCTTAGGGAGCGTTGGTGGCCTAGTAGGTAAGGATTGGCATTTCCAACCCAAAGGTAGGTAGTTTGAATCCACCAGTTGCTCCGTGGGAGAAGGATAATCTTTTTCTGGTCATTCTACAGCCTCTGAAAATCCACTTGGGCTCAGTTGTGAGTGAGTTCTGGCTCAGTGAAACATAATAACAGCAACTTATCATGGGGCCTCTTTGCAACAGACTGTTGAAAGGCTGGAGCTTCTGGTGCTGGTTCTCCACTCTCCAATCACGTAATGCTGGGAAAACCCCACAAGGTGCTCATTCCTCACCTTGCTTCCCACATAAGGAATATAAAGCCAACTACTTCTGTCTCTACACCCGTAAGAATCTCAATGAAACTCCCTGCATTTCCTGCTTCTCACACTTCTGACAATCTCTAAAAGAGCTAGTGTGGAGAAGGGCTAGAAAACACTAATATAAGTTGATAGTAATGAAGTTACTGCTAAAAACAGATCTAGTCTTGCACAGTTTTAACTGATTTCAGACGTGGTATATATAGCCAAGAGAAAGGAAGGGGAAAGTTAATTTACTATGGGTACGTTGTAGACAAGCTATACCTCATTGTGTGCATAGACTACCTTAATGGTGGCCAAATTCTTGAATGCTAAGAAGCCCATTTGTGAAGGACAAATGTTATGTGATCTCCTGCTTTGGCAATGATTCCAAAGATGAATGATACGGTCAGCCCCTGCCTAATTCTTTCCAAATATTAGATGTTGGGCACGGAGTAAGCACTGGCAGACACACAGGGGCAGACTTCCCCTCCAGTTAAGGTTGGCTGGGAGGGAAGCTAAGAGCATGCCACCTGCCAGCCTGTCCCATTCGCGTTAGCCGGCCAGGAAATCAGTAATAATAACTGTACTTTCTACTCTACTTTCTTACTATATTAAGCCTTTTGCAGTAATTTCATTTCAATCTTCCAAAATACAGTGGAAACTGTGAGAGCCAAGACTCAATGA